TAGATGTCTGTGTTGCAGGTACTGTGGTCGTACCTGTGTCAGATGTCCCAATTATGTCGCTAGTCGTCTGTGTTCCAGGATCTGCGGTGACGCTCACGTCAGACGTCTTACTTGTGGTGCTAGATGTCTGTGTTGCAGGTACTGTGGTCGTACCTGTGTCAGATGTCCCAATTATGTCGCTAGTCGTCTGTGTTCCAGGATCTGCGGTGACGCTCACGTCAGACGTCTTACTTGTGGTGCTAGATGTCTGTGTTGCAGGTACTGTGGTCGTACCTGTGTCAGATGTCCCAATTATGTCGCTAGTCGTCTGTGTTCCAGGATCTGCGGTGACGCTCACGTCAGACGTCTTACTTGTGGTGCTAGATGTCTGTGTTGCAGGTACTGTGGTCGTACCTGTGTCAGATGTCCCAATTATGTCGCTAGTCGTCTGTGTTCCAGGATCTGCGGTGACACTCACGTCAGACGTCTTACTTGTGGTGGCAGATGTCTGTGTTGCAGGTACTGTGGTCGTACCTGTATCAGATGCCCCACTTACGTCGCTAGTCGTCTGTGTTCCAGGATCTGTGGTGACACTCACGTCAGACGTCTTACTTGTGGTTGCAGATGTCTGTGTCGTAGGTACTGTGGCGACGCTCACGTCAGACGTCTTACTTGTGGTTGCAAATGTCTGTGTTGCAGGTACTGTGGTCGTACCTGTATCAGATGCCCCACTTACGTCGCTAGTCGTCTGTGTTCCAGGATCTGTGGTGACACTCACGTCAGACGTCTTACTTGTGGTTGCAGATGTCTGTGTCGTAGGTACTGTGGCGACGCTCACGTCAGACGTCTTACTTGTGGTTGCAAATGTCTGTGTTGCAGGTACTGTGGTCGTACCTGTATCAGATGCCCCACTTACGTCGCTAGTCGTCTGTGCTCCAGGATCTGCGTTGGCGCTTACGTCAGACGTCTTACTTGTGGTGCTTGGTTTCTTTGTTGCTTGTTCAGTTGTGGTGCTTGATTCAGATGTCCCACTCATGATGTTATTCGTCTGTTTGCCAGGATTTGTTGTCGTACTCATGTCAGACGTCCCATTTGTTGGACTAGATGTCCGAGTTACAGGTTCAGCTGTGGTAATAGTACCAGATGTCTCAATAGTTTCGCTAGATTTCTCTGTGGCAGGATATGAGTTGGTACCCATGTGGAACGTCCCACTACTTTCGCTAAATGTTATTGGGAGGGTTTCTGATGTGGTACTCAGGTTTTTCGATGACTCACTGCTGGATACCATCGCGACTGTATCTTTGCTGATTTCGGTAGTGGCCGTGTCCCGTTCATATGTCGTTGTTGATGCTATCGGCACATCATCTGGAAATAATGTTTGTTTTATGTTGATGGGGAATGCAAAAAATTTCTAGTCTGACTTTTTTTTCGATATTGCATTCCCAAATCGATCTTGATGTAGAAATTCACTTTTCTAAACTAGGGGTTATCATTTGTAATTGCTGATGGAAATTACAATTTCAAGAAACGCTTGTATTAGGAAAGTTTTTCGGTTAAAAATTTTAATGCGCTTTTGATTGGGGCACTCCAAATCGGTAATTTATTATAGAAAAAATTGGTATCGTACCAATATTCTTATATTGTGTTCATACTCCTGGGTCGCCGAAGAGTGAGGAAGAATGGAGCACTGATAATTCAAGATAGGGTGAACAAACTTCAAAAGAATGTCTTGAAAAAGTTATTGTCGCGTAATTTATTCGCTACAACTCGAGTGGACGTTCGCGATTCGTATCCTTTCATCTTTTGTAATTGCATTATTACCTGCCAAAAAAGGCCAATATATCATATTCTTTAACGAGAAAAGAAGGAATGGACAATGATTCGTCTAAGCGATCGTACCACTAACGTCTAAGCTGGAGGCCGTGCCTTTATCAGGTGTGTTCTGCTATTTTTTTAAAGCTCGCGTTTTTTTTCCTTTCTACCCGCTGCCATCCAGAGATTGGAGGAATTTGACTCTAAACTCGTAGGTTCTTTGGAATTGATCAAGTCTATTGCGAAACCTCTGAAATCTACCCCTGGATCTCTTGGAATATAACTTTTGACAAGGTTTAATTAGGATTGTGCCGATGGTCTCATTATTAAGCATTTATTCGGGTAGACCCATTAGGAAGTCATGTTAAATTCCCTTTTTCCAAGCGCTGGCTGGGTGCTTCAGAAATATCCATGGATCGATGCACCCGAGGGCAGAGGGGGCGCGGCGGATTCAGTCTTTTCTCGCCGCGATTGGACGGAGGTTTGTGTCTAGTGTCGTTTCTTACCGTGACCTGGGCGAGGACATGTATCCATCTTCCATAATTTCTCTGATCGGGGAGTGGGAGGTGAGGCCTTCCCAATGGGTGATGAAGCCCACAATGCTATCAACTATTGAAAATGATTTCCATTCAACGGTGAGTGTATCGGCACAACCATAATTTTCATTCTATTTCCATTTCACGGTTTTTACTTGCGGAATTCGTTTTTTTTTATAAATCAGCTGTGCTAGGCATGGGCAAATGGGCGTTTCAAAAGAAGGATACGATAGAGGGCATGGGAAAAGACTTGCATTTATCGTTTTCAGTTATCAGGAAAAATCGAGGAAGTGTGCGCAAATGGGAATTGGCAACTGGAGGAAGTCAAACCAATCTTGGGTGAATTTGCGTCCCAATGTCATTCCTCACTTCATATATGCCATTAATGTTGACATGGAGCGCAGTTTCTTCTTCAAAGACTAGCCGAGCTCCAACCGACTCTAATCTATTTTGATGGTATGTCATCGTGGCAATATCGATTGCTATTCACAAGCTTCCCAAAACAATAGATACAGTATATAACTTTACCACCACCTATTAAAATATTTTTGGGGTATGTTTTTGTAACTAATTCTGTCTCTTTACTGCCTCTTTTTACTGTATGAAAGCACCATAAATTATGGGTTTATCCAGCATGAAAATATGCTCCCTACTTATTACATTGGGTTTACTAGTTGAACCGTCGGCCGCCAGGTTTAGAAAATTGAACCATATTGGGGGATAAACGGAAGCAAAGAAGCTCATTGATATTCTCTATGGCTATCCCTGTTGATCGGCGACCGGCTTCTTTCGCTCGTTTGCGAAGCTTCACTAGTTCAGGCGACCGTACAGAAACGAAACTGCGAAGAATCAGAGATTGCGATCGATGGTATCGATATCGGTCTTTATCTCCAGTCTCTACTCGCAACCTTCATTTTTTCCCGAAGAGAAGCAAGTCTCACTTTTGCACGTGGCGATGACGGCCAGGAGAAGAAGGCCTCGGCACTTCCACTCGAACATGTTGGAAGGTTCGCGCACTCGGATGTTCACATGTCCCAGGGAGACTTCCTTCCACCCTGTGAGACCTCCCGACGGGCGATGGGGTCACGTTGTCCCTGGAGACGTAATGTAGGCAATACATAAAGCATGTTCCGCCCAATCAATCTCCAAGATCTGTATCGGCGGGGTACTGTCAGATAGTATCTTAGAAACGTGGCTATGACACGTGGACAGGGAATCACGACGACGCTTTCGACCATTCGCTTCTTGTATGCATTTGGCAGTCCTGATGGTCCCACTTCAATGATCATCTCATTGATCTAGGCTCGTCTTATTTATATATTTTGTTATCTTTATTGAATCATGATGTACTTACTGAGAAAACACGGAACAGTTTTTTCAGCTTTTCTTCTCAGTCAAATCGTCAATTTCCTCGCCCGACCGCGATGAAAAAGGAGATCTTGCACTTTATTTCATACTCGAGATTACTTTTTTACTCCACCTCAAGGCTTGATTTTGGCTGAGACGAGGGAGAGGTCTGTCGCAAACAGTCTCTTACATTTCCACCCATGGCGGTAGAATGGATTAAAAAAGAGAAGTCGTGGCAAGGATATTGCTTTCTTCTCTAGGGTTCGCGGAAGGGCTGAAGGGAAAATTCAGCATTGAAACCCTCATTCAGTTTTTCATTCCTCCGTTCGCGCGATGTGGAATGCGTGGAGCAATAGGAAATTAGGAGGATTAGGACATGAGGAAAGCTTCTGCCGGTGTGTTTCGTCTGTGATCGCGTGGTGCCTCGAGTCGCTGCTTGTGAAGGGTCGAGCGGGGAGGCCCTCGCTTCGACCGCCTCTGCGTCCTTGGGCACGGACCCGATTTCCTCTTCCGTAAGTGTCTTCCTCAGTTTCTCATCGGCCGATGCAATTTTTTCCTCACGCTCTTGAGCACTCAATGGCTCTGCATCAGTAAGGTATATCTTCGCTTGGATACAGGGATTCGCGTCCATCGAAAGTCGTTGGACGAAAGAGTCGGTGAGAATTGATGCTTAAGACCGGACAAATTCATCCTCCTTTCCTTGAGTACGATTTTAGACATTTTACGTGGCATCGTTTCGACCGTGAGCTTCCCATAGAGTCCTTTTCCTGTAACGGATGTGGAACGAATTCATAAGTATAATAATACATATACGTTTTTACTCGGCGCTCAAAGAATGTGAAAATCTAGAAAAATGTGAGCGATAGCCAATAAAATTGGGATTTCAACTCGTAGCACTGGGTCACGGCATTGGAATGACAAAAGCGAAGGATAAGAAAAAGCGGAGAAAACTGACCAAACGCTCTCCCGTGTAAAATATGGAGAGGGTTCCGACCAATCGCCCAGACGAGAAACTTGATTTATTTTATTCACGAACTGTGGGACAGGAATTCGTGGTGTCGCCTTGTTGGGCCGACCGATGTCGAATTGGCGACTTGTCGGCAATGTCGGTTTTGTGCGGTTGGAGTGTAATGATTTATTTATCTCTTGCTTGATCGGTGCTTGTGTGTTGCGTTGCTATTGTTAATTTTGCGGATGCGGAATTCGTTTTGCAGGACCACGGATTACTTTTCGCCCAAAATCCCAAAAATGAGTTAAAGACCATGTGCAAGTGGGTTACCAAAGGTATGAATCGCTTCTCAAGATTTTGCCCACTCCCACGCCGAGACTCGCCCTAGAAACGTGGATTTCCCGTTTCGAGCCCACGTCACTCGAGTAAACCTAGCGGTTTGAATTCCGGGCGACTGCTTCCAGCTTCAACGCTGGGGCATCCGTCCCGTCGTGAGAAACCAACATCGTCCCTCAGAGACATCGCGTGCGTGGAGTGGACCGACCGAGCTGAATCGCGTCGATCGGGCTCCATGGCCCGTGGAGGCCTCTACGGGCAGATAAATATTAGTGCAAGCACGCAAATATCGGCTGTTATTTGTGGGTTCCAATCTAATCGCGGCATCACGGTCGGATCGTATCTTCGATTTCCGTCCATATATTTTCCCCCATGCCAACTCGCACGAAGCAGTTCAGGTACTTCACAGACTCGAAATGAGAGGTGAAAATGGACCCACCTGACAGGCCAACGAGGAGTGGCAAAAAAAAGGCCAACGACCATTGAGCCGCGAAATTTTCACTGTAAATATTGATAGCAGTCGATGCGTCAAGGTTCACATCGCCGCAGGCTTACAATGGCGAGAAGAAAGTGTTTTTCGTTTTGACCGTCCGGGTGCATGCTCAGCTTAGCTCGGTTGTAACTCAGCTGCACTTTTTCATTGCAAATTCGAATCATGTTTGGTCGAGTCTCAACGAAGGCAGGTGATGTGGCCCATCCCGTCCAGAAGTGTAAGGCGCTAATAAAATGATTATGAGCGTGTGCATGATTATGAGCATGGGCATGATTATGAGCATGCAAGGATTACTATTACTTGAACTTCAAGGGACCGGGCAAATCGTTTCGAGTTATCCGAAGTTCGAGTTAGCAGGAATCGCCCCCCCCCCCATAGATCAGATCAAATGAGACAAAACTGTTCACTTCCAAACGACCGTGCCAAGCGGTTGCATATTGCAGACATTCCAGATTTCCAGGCAAGAATCATTGATGCTCGAATCCGAAGTTCGAGTTAGCAGGAATCGCCCCCCCCCCCCCAAAAAAAAAAAAAAACTCGCGTTAAGGGACAGAATGGCTCGGAGTGAGAGCGTTAGATTGGCAGAGCGATGTTGGAGGCTTTTTTTATAGCCGAAGCTTTTCGGTTTTAATCCACAGGCTTAATCCTCTCCACAGGTGTGTGTGTGGGAGAAGGAAGAAGCAGAAAAAAAAAACAACAAAAAAAAAACAAAAGAAACAAAAGAGCATCCTCCCGAACGGATTTCTTGTCATTCATTCAATTCAAAAATCGAAAAGTCCCACGAGAAGAATTTTTCCCCCTTTCTCACCCTGAATTCGAGTTCACCGCGAGGAAATCGTCATAGGGAGTGAAAATTTTTCATTCGAGATATCCGGAACTTCGAGATAAGCGGAATTTCGAATTATCAGGATTAACGAATTAACGAGTTTTCACTGTACATTGTTTTAACGTAATGATTCTACACCTGTAAGTTATTTTGCACCTGCTTCACCTGTCGAAACTGGGTGAAGAAATGCTGGGAACGGCTTCTGTTTCCGAGTTTATTTTCCGCGTCGATGAGCGATCCGATCTGCGTCGCTCATGCGGACCCGATCGTCGCCACCGATGTGCACCGGAGGACATGCTCATGTGCGATCCTGTGCATAACGAGCATCAATGATTCTTGCCTGGAAATCTGGAATGTCTGCAATATGCAACCGCTTGGCACGGTCGTTTGGAAGTGAACAGTTTTGTCTCATTTGATCTGATCTATGTTCACGGCCGCAACAGTCTCTTGCTTACCACCTGCTTACCGCTTGCTTACCGCTTGCTTACCGCCTGCTTACCGCTTGCTTACCGCTTGCTTGCTATTGCTATTACCATATACCTCTAAGACCTCATCGATGATCCGGCCTGCCTCAAAATAAATAAACTCCTCTGACTCAGGATCGGAAGGATTTGCAGGCATGACGTCTTGACTTGCCTTTAACCCTTTCTTGCCCGATGGTGCCAATTGGCATCAAAACAAACTAAATTATAACTGGCGCAAAAAAAATTTCGGCGACATCGTCACAATTCATGCCAGAGAAGGGTCGGCACGAATGAACTGTTCCAATCAATCCTGCCAGTGGAAGTTCGTTCCAGTGGAAGTCGTCCAGAAAGTCCTGGAGAGACAACGAGGCCAAAATCATACCCAGAGGGTAAGTTTGAAAAAATCCGGACGGCAGGAGACCGAAAAGCTGTGCACGTTGCGAATTGACTCTTCGCGGATGTTTTTCATTTTGCATCGATATCTCGTGAGAGTCAACAACCTTCTGCTTTGAGGGGCGAAAATGTGAATTCAATGGGATTTAATCAAGGACTTAGGGAGGGGGAGGGGGGGGGGAATTGAATGGAGTGGGTTGGGTATCGAGGAATAGCTCTTTTGTGCACCTGAGCATTGTCCAACACGAAAATGAACTAATTTCCTGGTCCGATGGTGGCACTTAGTGCATCTAAAAAAAATCAGGAAACGCAACTCGTGTGAGAACTGACTCCATTGGTGGTGCAAAAGTACGTGTGAAGGGACGACCTTAACCTGATGAGCTGACAAACCGAAATTTCCATTCGGTCTTGCATTAGTGAGCGAGTTCCTCTTCACGTCTCTCTTTCGCGAGCTTTCTTTCGCCCGGAAAGTCGACAGTCGGAGCTGTTCTGTTCTCCCTCAGCTCATCGGCTGGCCCGCTTGCTTTTCCTATTTCCATCGTCACAGGCATTAGGAGTCCTTTGGGGGGTGCGGGTCAGCGTCGTTGCAGGAAGGCCTGAGAATCGTCTGAAAAAGGTATGCTCGGGAATGCCTTTTTATTCCGCCTCGAGGCTTGGTTTTTGTTGGGACGAGGGAGAAGTCTGTCGCCCACAGTCTCTCACATTTACATTGGAAAAGAGAAGCCGTGGCAAGGAAATGACTTTCTTCTCTTGGGTTCGCGGAAGGGAAGACGGGAAATACTGCATGGAAAGTCTCATTCAGTTTTTCGTTTCTCTGTTCGCGCGATGTGGGATGCGTCGAGGCGTGGCACTAGGGAGGCTTCTGCCGGTGTGTTTCGTCTGTGATCGCGTGGTGCCTCGAGTCGCTGCTTGTGAAGGGTCGAGCGGGGAGGCTCTCGCTTCGACCGCCACTGTGTCCTTGGGCACGGACCCGATTTCCTCTTCCGTGAAGTGTCTTCCTCGATTCCTCAACAGCCCATGCGGATTTTTTTCCTGGCACTTCAGCACTCAATGGCTCTGCATTGGTAAGGTATACGCTTGGATACAAGGATTCGCGTCCATCGAAAGTCATTGGACGAAAAAGTCGGTGAGTATTGATGGATACTGAGCTTAGGACTAGACAAGTCCATCCTCCATTCCTTGAGTACGATTTTAGACATTTTACGTGGCATCGTTTCGGTCGTGAACTTCCCATCGAGTCCCATTCCTGTAAAGGATGCCGAACGATATCCAATTTTGTTTGGCCGTTTCGTCTTTCCTCGAATCTCTTTCTCTCTTTCCCGGACGGCGCTCCGTTTTGAATTTTGACTTAGAGCGTTGCACCGATTTCGAATTGGCAATTTGTTAGCTATGTCGGGTTAGTGTCGAGGGGGTATAATCATTGCTCATATCTTACATTATTATAATTTAATTAACAGTAATACCTAACTTCAGTTAAAGATAATGTGCGAGTTCTGAGACCCCTCCCCCCCCGGCCGCTGTCACGAAAACGAGTTAAACGGTACTTGAATCGTTGCAATCGGTTCCCAAGATTTCCTCTGTCCCCACTCTGAGACTCGCCCTACCCAGCCTGAAATCCCGGCTGGAAACAGCTATAATTTCCAGCTGGATCCCAGCTGGAATTTCGGACCCATTCCATCTGGGTAGCAGCTGGAAAGTAGTCAGATTCAGATTGGTTCCTAATTGCAATATCACTAGCTAAATAAGAATCGTTTTGTTGGATATTTTTTTTCGAAGGTTCATCTACAGAAACAGCTGAATTTCAATTGTAAATTCAGCTGTATTCCAGCTGTCGGAAGCTATTAAAACCAGCTGCATTCCAGTTGGAAAATTCCAGCTATAAACCAACCGGTATCTACTATTTTCCAGCGCGTTGCCAGCTGGAAATGGTCCGAATTTACAGATTTAGTCCAGCTGGAATATTCCAGTTGGGATTTTTTAAACTGGGTAGATGCATGGATTTCTCAATCCGAGCCCATGTCACTCAAGTTGACCTCGCGTTTTGAATTTCGGCCGGCCATTTTCGCAGGCTTGAGAAGCCCTCAGTTTCCCCATATGCTGACTTTCAGCGAGTTTTGTCTTCGCGCATTCAAAGGAGGAAAAATCGAGCACGAACCCTCAGATACAGCCTGTTGCAGCTTAGAGCCCTAAGCGGGTCGTGGACCACCTCGATCGCGTGGAGCGAGATCGGGCCGATCGGATTCATGTTCCATACGAAAGGCCTCTACAAGCAAGCATCCACGCGAGCGTCGGCTTATCAGTCGCATCTACACACGGCATCGCGATAAGATGGTATCTCCATCGACTTCCGTGCCGAGAGTCTTTTCATCCGTGCCGACTCGCACGAAGCAGTTTTGGTGCTTCACGCCTAAGAGGCCGACGCAACTCCTAAGAAAGCACGAACCCAGGCATTAATTCTAATGGTCCCAATTACTCGGTGGGTGGTTTACCTGTCACCGACGTAACTCGGTTACTCGACGGTTAAGCCTTTAATTCTTGACTGCACCCCGGCATCTGCTCATAGCTTGTGCTGCCATCTATCCAACGAATGACGAGATAGAACTAAATATGCTCACTAGGTGCTGCGATGGTCCCACCACTCGCCATTTCTTATTTTTTTTATGATGCGAACTCATCGCAAGCACGATAATATTTATTTTTAACAAATATCATAACTATCACAGATCCACCAAAAATCTCTAAGTTAACGTCGGAGTAAACCGTAAACAAATTTTTTTAAACATGGATTATCACCTTGGATTATTTCTGCTTTTCTTTCGGTTTCCTCAGGTGTTTTGAAGGTTAACCGGATTTCGAGTTAAATTGCCTGTTCGATCGGCGAAAGGTCGATCGGTTGGAATTTTCGGTTTTCGCTTGCTCGGGGTGAAGTGCAAAAAAAATTGGCGGAGTCGTATGCTTGTTCGTTGCAGCGACTGATTATTGCCTTTTTGTTGCAATTGGTTTTTATTGGCAATTGGCTGATTGCAGGATTAGATGCGAGCACACTCCCGCGTCTCAAGACGCTTCGATTTATTATATATATATATTTATTTAAGTATAGAAATACTTCCTCGTTTTTTTGCGGCGTTCCCACACAGGTCTTGAGAAACGGGAGGGTGTTCGAGGTGAACTTAAAACTTTATTTTAGTTCCTTTTTCCTCTTCTGTCCGTGAGTCGATCGGGTCGCTCTTTTCATGTCGTTCGGTGTCGTTTGCGTTCCCACACGGCGTCGATGCAACCCGAGGGATCCAGAGACAGAAGAGAAAATTACGAGCTTCATCTGGCCGAGTTCCTGTTAGAAAGACGGCAAGAAGACGTAAGGAGGCATGGTCCAAGAGGCGAGGTCCAGGAGGCAAGGTCCAGGAGGCTAGGTCCAAGAAGCGAGGTCCAGGAGGCAAGGTCCAGGAGGCAAGGTCCAAGAAGCGAGGTCCAGGAGGCAAGGTCCAAGAAGCGAGGTCCAGGAGGCAAGGTCCAGGGTGGTCATGCTTACTTTCCGCTGCAGGAGCTGCAGCAGCAACTATCTGCTCTTGCCGTGCTGCACAGGATGACCAGCAGTAGCAGCGCCATTGCTGAAACAAATTTTAAAAAAAATAACGGTAGAGCCGGAACGACTGGGAGGGAGGTTTCATGAAAGGGGAACTTGTGTCTATGGCAGTTGACGCGCTTTTTCCTCAACGGATTCCGAGCGGTCTGTTCCGTTTCGAAGGCGTTCGCTTTCCATGACGATTCGCGAAAATGAGCATTGACTGAGTAGTGGTGTCCGAGGTGTGGAATGGACCATTAGAGACGTTCGAAACATTTTGCAAATTTCTAGGGCTAGCGCGGGAAATGACGAGCGGATTTTGCCGTTGAAAGGAAGGAGCGGAAATGAGAAAATTGCATGAGTTGGAATTTACACAAATCGCGTTCGGAAAGGGAAGACTTGCTAAATATTTGCTAAAGATTTGCTGAAATGCATCTGCTCACCGACGACGCAGGGCAAGGTGACGAAGAGGAGGAGGCGGGATTCCCGGTCCGACTGGACCTTGACGATGTCGGGAGGCCCGGTCGTGCTGGTCGTCGTGATCGGTCTCCCTGAAGGAGAAATGTGCTTTAGTTTGCATTTTAATTTTTTAGTTTTAATGTTCGTGCTTTAGTTTGTATTTTGTCGAAACGAAACGGGAATTCCTGAATTTACTTCGTGCTCGGTTCCAAAAAAAGGTTGCTTTAGTTTTCAATGGGCTTTTTATCTTTCGGGAAGACTTTTCGTCGTTTTTGGCACTTTTACTTTGGAAGTGTGAACTGCATCAGTTTCTGAAGTTTTTTTACAGGTTGATTCATGAGGTTCCGGCCTGGTTCTCACCGGAGGGAAGGTAGTCGGTTCGCAGCTCCCCGACGCGGTAAGTCCCATCAGGCATCAGCGCCTTGGCGTCGATGTCGTCCTGGACCTTCCCCAGGTTCACGCCTGGGGTGAATTCCATGTTGAAGTCGGAGATGACGCTCCCCTGGCGGTTGGCCAGGCAGACGGTCCTCTGGTAGAAGGGTCGCTCGCTGCTGCCCGACAGGGCCGACACAATCTGCAATTGCACCCTGGCAATTATACGAACCGATTTTGTCGGGTGATGGAGCAATTTCGACGGGGATTGCATCGACAAGGGACTATGTGGGCCTTCGCCAACGTTGGCATGAACTTTATGTCGAGAAGGATGGAGTGTAACGGATAAACAGGAACAAAACTAAAAAACATTCCTCTTCCTTGTCCTTAAGAGGGCCAGTGTGAGTTGAGGTCGATTCATCCTCTAATTCTCATCCGCCAAGAAACAGGCAGAAATGGACTGAATCCCCTAATATGGTTTACACTCATGCTTTAAAGGGATCTATTGTAAAATACCCCTTGCAATGCCTTACCAAGAGCGGCGACATTGCCACTCTGTTGCTTCTGAATCTTTTCGGACCGTCGTTACAGCCGTGATTTGAGTATGTAATTATTCCACCACTGCAAAATTTCACCACCTGAAATCAATTTTTTTTTAAGAATTCTCTTTTGCATCCCAATGACATGAGGGCTACAATGCTGCATCAAATAAAATTTGTTAAATATTTGACAGATCCGATTATTTTCATTCCTGCGTTTGGTATTTCTAATGAGTCGCTAGGACGTTTCTATTTAAGAAAAAGATTTAATTATAGAACCTATTCTATATATAGGATGTATAATTTTTTCCCTTTGGGGTGTGGCTTTTTCTTAGAAAAAAAGGCTCGTTAAAAGACTCATAACTGGAAAAGTTACTAACGTCACACATGTCTACGATCTGTTTTGATTGTCGTGAAAATATATACATATTTCTAAGGCCTCAATTCAAGAATTGAAAAGAATTTATGAACCGAACGAAGATTAAACAAATATCTGGGAAAAAAATAAAAATGATCTGCCGAGAAGATATCTCGCAAATTAAGCCTCGCTCAGCTCCTGAGGCTGTTCCCGATGATTCCATTTAATGCCGTCGTCGTTTTGGCGGCAGGGAATTGGCGGCAGGGAATTGGCGGAAGGAAAGAAGTGCGGAAAAAATTTAGCTTTCCAAGCGGGGAATACGAGACAGTTCGGATTTTGGAACGTAATATGTGACATACAAGGCGACACGTAAGTAACCATTAGTGATATGTTTAGATTATTTGTAAAAATTTTTGGAACTGAAGCAATCATGGACTCGCGGAAACTAAAGGGAATTTTGACACAGCTGCTTGTTGAAACTTACGCCATACTCGATCTTGCAACAGAGTTCCTTGAAGTCTCTGGACCCAACCGTGGCGTAGTCTTCGTTCCAAGGGATGTTCGTGATGTGGAATCCACGGAAGAACAATTTCACTGCGAGTAAAATGGGTTCAAAAGGCCATACATACCGATTTTTGGATACCTAAAAGTTTGGTCTTTGCGAGTGGAAGTAAATCAATCTGCCATTTCATTTTGAAGAATTTATGTTCATCAAGTTACGCTCGTTCACCCAGGCATGCGAAGAACAGATGCAGCAAAAAGATGAAGCAAGGGACAGAATGAAAGTAAAACAACCAGTTACACGGTCTAAGTCGCTGGAAGAAGACTATAACAGCAAAAAGAAAAGAAGGAAAATGATTGCAAATCGAAGTTCTCACCTGCATAAGGACTTGATCGCGTTTCTTGTGGGAAATCGTTGCAGCCAGATGATGTCGGAGGGGAGCCAATTTTGGTTGACGTTTCGGGTCCAACAGAAGAGCTGGATGTCGGCCTGCCACCACCGGATGACCCATTTGACGATTCCGTAGTTCCAATAGAAATTGCAGATGCGCTTGTCGTCTTTGTGCCAGGATCTGTTGTCGGACTGGTGTCAGACGTCCCACTTGTTACGCTGGATGTCTGTGAGCCTGGATTTGTTATGGTACCTGTGTCAGACGTCCCACCTGAAGCGCTAGATGATTCTGTTGCAGGTCCAGTAGTGGCACCTGTGTTAGACGTCCCACTTGATGCGCTAGATGTTTGTGTTGCGGGTTCAATGGTGGTACCTGTGTCAGACGTCCCACCTGAAGCGCTAGATGTTTGTGTTGTAGGTCCAGTAGTGGTACCTGTGTCAGACGTCCCACCTATGTCGCTAGTCGCCTGTGTGCCGGAATTTGTTGTCGGACTAGTGTTAGACGTCCCACTTGAAGCGCCAGTTGTTTCCGCGCCTGGATTTGTTATGGCACTTTTGTCCGACGTCCAACTTGGTGTGGTAGATGTCTGTGTTACAGGTTCAGATGTGGTAATTATGTAGGATGTGCCACTTGTGGCGCTAGATGTAGATGATGTGGAATTTTCACCTGGAAGTAATATTATGGGCGGTAAGTTGAAGGGCAATGTGATTGGAACCTATCTTGACTGTCCCTGATTTGGAGAGTTTTTTCTGAAAATTTCTAGATGTAAAATTCTAGAGCTCTAAATGCAATTTTTTAAAAAGTCATTGTTAATTGTACCTGGAATAGATAATTGCTATATGAATGGCATTTTGAAAGATATTCCTTAAAATTCCTTGCTTCTTAATAATCATTTGTTACATTGGAATCATTTAAATAATTGTGTTGATATTGAAATAATGAAAACGTGTACATTGACGTAAAAGTTTTCCACTATGTGGCTCGGGATCCAAAAAAAATATTGATTTCAATTTCAAACTGGACATTTCCCACTAATCATTTGTGCCGCAGAACTATTTTTTTCAGCTTTTACTCATGAATCGCATGCGTCGCAGAAAATAAGAGATTGAAAATGAAGAAAGAGGCAGAGACAATTTAAGATTGCCCCCAAAACTCCATTCGAATATCGATGGCGTTTCATCTTTCTGCCTGAGGGGGAACTCCGTGCGTATGAAGCTCGACACTTGAAATTTCTATGCCTAACGCCAATGTTTTGCACTTTGTTAATAGCTTGAGCCAATACCGGCCAATTGGAGTGGCATATACGTTCGAGATTCGTATCATTTCAAGTTTTGCTGTTTCATGAGATGAATCTCGTGCCTGTCATTCTATTGTCCGCAGGACTAGAATCTGATTTGATTTCAACGTAACCTCCAAAATTGGGAATTACAATAATTTTTTTTTTATTGTGATAAAAAAAATGTATTTCATTACTAGGGAGCGGATTCTCATGGCATGTTCTTTTATTTTTAATCATGTTCATGTTCCTCCTTCTTACCAACTGCGACGGGGAGATTCGAATGGCCTTTGTTCTATTCAGAATGTTTTGCATATTTTTTGCAACACCGTTGAATCCAAGAAAAAAAAACACCGCTTTGAGACATTTATTTTAAATGTGACTCGTTTGCATGGCAAGGAAAGGCCCGTTTCCGAGACAGAAGGAAAGTAGCGGACACACTGCTTTCTTCAAATCGCTCGTAACAAAACCTTCTCACATGGCAATTATGCATTCATCACTTCTGTCTGATCTGGTATATTCTTGGGGCTCGCATTTTTTATTTGGAGGGATATGGCATGAAAATCCTGGCTTTTCGCTCAAGCCTGTAGCGCAGCCATTGAAGTCGAAGCCGGGATCCCTCGGAAATATTTCGACAAGTTTTAATCTTCTTTGCGCATCTTCGCCTTGGTGCGATTCGGTTCCTTAGTTCGATCGGACGGTGCCCATATGGGCTCAATTGCGCGCGCAAGAAATTACGAAGATGAAGAAATCCGAATGCAGTTTCTAGCAGAATAGTCATAACCCTCTTCGGCCGAATTCTCCTGACAAGAGTAATAAAAATGGAAATGGTCACAATCAGGACAAAAACTTAGCCGAGAAATCATTATTTTGTTCATCGTAATATGCACGAATGTTTCTTCAGAGTGGACCAGCCTTGTATCGGTGGGTTAAACGCTTTCACAAAATCAAACTCTAAAAAGCCGTTTTCTCGATATGGCTGTATGTTATCCAGGAAGTTTGACATCACCACCTTTTAGTAGAGCATGAATATCCGCTCCCTACTTATAAGATAGGGATCAGTTATTATGGTAAGTCTCCCTCTCCAGGTTTTTCAAAATTGAAACCTATTGGGAGACGCTCGATAGACGAAATTGAAGGAATTCATTGATTTTACTTGCTATTCCCGCGGACCATTCCTGTGAGTCGGAGACTGTATTGATCCTTGGCGAAGTCTTACGAGTTCAGGCGATCCAACAGAAACAATACTGCGAAGAATCAGCCGATCCCGAGCAACATTATCGATCGACCTGTATCACCGGTCTCTACTCGCAACCTTCAATTTTCCCCCAACGAAGAGAGCAGACCTCACTTTTGCACGTGGCGATGACGGCCAGGAGAAGAAGGCCTCCGCGCTTCCACTCGAACATGTCGGAAGGCCCGCGCACTCGGATGTTCACATGTCCCTCGGCTGCGTCCTTCCACCCTGTGAGACCTCCCGACGACGTTGGGGTCACATCAACAGCGCGACTAGCCTCCATGATCCTTATCGATGGGGAAAACAAGCACATTAAGTCCGCGGCTGCAACAACCAAATGAGGGATCCCGGCAACGCTTTCGTTTATTTGCGTAATGGATGCGTTTAGGCGATCGTGGCTTCTCTTCCCAGCTGATAGGTGATTCAAGGGCGAATAACGATCACGAACGACAGCAGTTGTTCGCAGGAGAGGCTCGTTTCGCCTTTCATTGTGAGAGGCGTCACAGTGAGTTTGGTTCCTTTCAGGGAATGGCTTTCTTTGTTGTCTGACCTTTTCTGTAGGCACAGGAAAATAGAATTGATGGACGTATGGATTAATTTAATTAATTTACTGTATTTTTTTAATTATTCAATTTTTAACTTGATCCTGGACTTTAAGATTGTGGAGGATTTCCCTGAATGTTCATTCGCCCCTTCGGTTGTTCTTTTCCAGGGTTTTTCTTTTTTTTTTTAGGAATGCTAAAAGTAGCATCACGTTAGGCGAAATCACTATCTCGGAGCAGAAATCGCACGAAGTAGCTTCGACGCCGCCTAGAAATAATGAAATTTCAGAGGGGCACGTATATTAATCTCCTGCGTGACTTCTTGGCCTTTTCTGAAATCCGAGATGAGCATGCCAGCGAGATTTCCCTGTCGAAAAACAAGGGGGGGGGGGGGGGAAAAACGGGGGGAAATTCCATGAGATTTTCTCATGTTTGGAGAATTATCTGAGATTATCAGGAGATTATCAGGAGATTATCTGAGACGTATGACCGAGATGGATGCTGTGCAATTCTGTCGATGTTGAGATGCGACTCGAGATTTGCTGCTGTGACTCAGCAGGCGCCATGGCAGGCGCCGGAGCTGTGAAGAATATTGCGGTGGGGAAAATGAGGGATCAGCTTTTTTTTCGGTATTGAATTATTTATTGCGGTCGGGGGGTCGGAGATGTCGGCCGGTCGTTTATGGGTCGTGAGGCTCGTTTGCCTTGTCGATCGGTCGACGGGGCTTAGTCGTTAGCGCTTAATCGGTGGGTGGATTAATGGATTAGATGTCCGCTCGTACCGTTTGGTGGTACGGCAGCCGATAGTCGCAATAGTTACGATAAATACAAATATTGCAAGAAATTTTTAAAATAGCGCCCGCCTTTCGCGACGCCATCAGTCCGACTCGGACGAGCACAAGCTGTCTCTCGGCAGTGAAAAAAAAAATCTTCAACGGCGAGCTGGAAATGTGAATGATGAAAGACTTGATAGAAGAGCTGGAGAATGGAAGAAATGCTGAAAGTCCGGCCTAAAAAAAAAAAATTGTTTCAATTTTTTTTTATATTTTCATTTTATATTTTCATTTTTTTTATACTGCGCACAAAAATACACATGAATAACCAAGAATTTCTCAAACTCTATTTTTTTCTTCAAGAATGCTGGAACGAATGCTTAAAAAAAAGATGTAATTTATGAAACATTCGTAGGAAAACAGTTCAAGGAAGGGCGACGAAACCCAGTCGGTAATCAGATTGGGAATCCGGATCGAGCGTTGATTATTGACGCTTTTTTGAACGGCTGGACGCCTAAGGGGATTCGTGGGGGAGACGGGCGGCGCCGTTTTGTTACCTCTAGGTAACAAAATGGCAAAACGGCAAAATGGCAAAAGGCAAAAATGGCACTGGAAAATGGCCGTTCCTTGAAATGGAGAAATAATTGTGGAAATCGCGAGGGAGCGACATGATGCGGTTTTCGAAGGCCCGTGGCTGCCGCCGACCGTCTCTTAACCCTTTGATGCCCAGTAGCGTTTGCTATCGTGTCGTGTTTTTGCTTTGTATTGCCGAGTTTTTTCGTGTGGTGGCGGGGGTCATAAAGGTCACGAGGAGTTAGTTTTCGATCGATAACATATGTGACATAATACTTGTTTTTGTGGGAGGGTGCAATTTCGACTGCGGGAACCTAACAGTGGCTTGGGCGCTAACGGGTTCAGTCGCCACTGACACCGACGGTTGAGGAAAGGAAGCCGCGAAAAGCGAACTTACTCTCTCATCCGCGGGAGGGAGGAAACGAAGGGAAAATACCAACTCGACTCTGACCGCATGCGCGGGAAAGGGAGAACCTCCTTCGTGGATGCGATGAGCGGTGAGCCTCCCCCCCTCGAGGAATTCCTGTCCAGACAGGAAAGGAAGGAAAGAGAAACGAGACGGCGAAGACGGATCCCCTTTTTTCCAACCTCGGCATGGGAAGAACGACTCCATTCCGGATGATCCGACCTGATCTGTCTGTGACAAACCATCGGAGCAATTTTTCCGGTTTCGTGCACTCATGTAAGGGCGTGATCGGACGGATTGGAACATCGAGTGAAACGTCATCTGCACCAGAACGCCGGGAAATCTTGTTTCGGATGCGGAAAGAATCTTTCAATAGGGGTTATAATAGGGATAAGGGAATAGGGTGATATTATTAAAGGGATAGGATAGAATGGATGGATAGCAGAATTCGAAGCTGTCTTCGTCGTGGGAAACTCGATGGCTCATCGAAGGTTAGTCCTTAGGTAATCCGTCCCATGTATTTGAATTCTTCCCGCCATGTAGCTCATATTTGAACAATTTGAATCCCATAAATTCGCATTTCCATTCAAAGCAGAGGCGAAGAGGCAGCAGGGTCCAGCTGTCGCTGCTGTTCAATCTACGGGACAATATCGCAGAAACATTTTGGAACGAATGGTGCATGGCGCAGAGAGAGTTTACGCTGCCGATTTATACCGCGTATTCGTACGTTTCCATGCATGAACAGGTAATCGAATAGAGAAATCATTTCTAAGAAAAAAAAAAAAAACTTGTTCCCCACACGCGGAGGAAGGACCTCGGCTTCGCAGTCTGGTTTCTCTTTCCCTGTCTGGACAGGAATTCCTCGAGGGGGGGAGGCTCGCCCTCCGCTCGTCGCATCCATGAAGGAGGTTCTCCCTTTCCCGCGCATGCGGTCAGTGTCGAGTTGAACTGGGATATTGCATTAGGATTCCCATTGGGTTTTTCCTCGCTGTTCCGTGCGGCGTGGGGACGAGGCGCTCCTGCCAGTCTCGCGTCGTTTGGGGTTTTCGGTGGGCTCGGTGTCGGTGGGCTCGAGTCGGTGGACTCGGTGGAAGGAGTCTGGCTTGGATCTCGTTCTGCTCCTGCGGATAGGTTTCCTTATTGGCCCGAGGGAAGTTTTTTTAAAAATTGTTTCGGAGCGTCTCGCTGCATCGGCAAGGCTCTGAAATGGTGAGTACCG